AGGTGCCTCCAACCCCAGAGAGAATCCCAGCAGTTCCCCGATCCTTTGGCAAATGCCCTAGGTTTAGTAAATGGATTTCCTTCACACATAGTGTAGTTGTCTTTTAAACTGCTGTTTTTCCCCTGTGCCCCAGGGCAAGTGAGTCTGCACACAGCCCCTCAGTGACACTCTGCCCTACTGCAGGCTGCCTTGTAGAGGGTGGGGTTCCATGGATACAGCGTCTCCCTCTCTCCTACTGGTCTCTGTGTGGTCCCTCTATCATTTGTTGTGCAGAAGCTATTCATTCAGCCCTCAGTTCTTCAGGAGAAATTGCTCTATATGTAGGTATAGATTCAGTGTGTCCATGGGAGGAGGTGAGTTCAGTGTCTTGCTTTGCTGCTATCTTGCCCCGCTCCTTATCAGTATAACTTTTGTATATATTAAAAATATTCTTTTGTATGCATAAACTATTATATTAACTAAATTTAGAGAGGCATGTTGGTGATCTATTTTTATAACATAAAACTATATACATTTATACATACATATCAATTTCATTTATTTCCTCGTGCATAAATAAAGAATCTAAGGATACTTTCCAAATATTTGGGAAGGATAATCCCAGGAAATTGGGATAAAGAGAAAGAGAGTGGCCATTCACCTTTTATTTAATTTATCTACTATTTGCATTTTTTCAAAGTACATATGCTATTTTTTTATATACATATGCATAGGTATATGGACCCTAGTGGTCCATCCTTGAAAAAATGCTGGTCCAAAGATCTATGTCTCAATTGTAATCAACTGGAAAAGAGATTGTCCTTAAAAGCTCTAGGCAAATTCCTCACCATCACCTTAAACGCGCCATATGGGCCCCTCCCAGAGCTGATGAAACTCTGAGGGATTTTTCGTAAACTGCTACGTTATTTCCTTAAACAGCCATGGGGAAATTAAAAACAAAACTAATGAGGTTATTTCATCTGTAAGAAATGTTTACTGTTTGTCCTGGCTGAAACCTGACAAGCTATTTGAAAGGATTTCATAATTTTGTGAACAGAAATTTGGCCAGATTGGAAGGTGATATTCAGACCCTGACAGGAAATTTTTTAGGCTTCCTCCCCTAAGTTAAAATGAAACTAGGCACACAGAAAGAAAGAAACATTCCAAGAATAAGTGGGTGGATATGTCAATTTGCCAATCCCCAAAACTCCCCTGTTATATTGTAAAAGATGAGAACACTAGATATAGAATTGTCCTGTACTAAGAAAAAAAGAGGGAAAGTTTATGAGATCTCTGCATCTGCCTATATGTTGTGTGTGTGTCTACATATTATGTTATAAATTTGTGATGTTTTGCTACTTCCAGACGGTATTGACAAAATTAATTTGTAAAAGAGCTCTATTTAGTTGTTTTGAAGGTTAAGCACTTGTAAGGATGGGCATTCTAAAGTCCTTCGAAACTATAACAGAAATTAACCCAAATGCTTTTCCAGTTCATGTGATCTGGAATAATCTTTGGTAAATAGAAGCTAGTTTAAGTTTATTGGTTTAATTAAAACAGACATGTCTTTAGTGTTATCAGCATTAAATATAATATTTTTATTCTATGTAGGCTTACAAATTTTTCAGCAAGAAAAATAACTTGGTATGATCAAATTTTCCTAAGTAATCTAAACATAATTGTTAAGAACAAGTAAATTAAATAAATGTAAGTAGAATAAAAGGGGCTTTTTTAAGGTGAAACTTTCAAATTAGTTTCCCAAATCTTTCCAGAAATCTGAAACTTTACAGGTTTGCTAAGTTAAGTTAAATGATAAAAGCTTATTGAATATCTAGATTATTTACTAGTAAGATAAAATATCAAATATTAATTACTAATCTGGGTTTATCTACTTTTGGCTTCCTATTGCAGAGAAACTAAAGATAAAATTAGGTCTATTAGTAAAGATGTCTTGTGTCACACTGAGAAGTTTTCTATGAAAAAGCACATTTCTAGAAATTATAAAAAAGTATTTATAAGTCTGCCAATCCATAGAATGCTAATGTAAAAGACAGTTTATAATTGCTTACTTCTTGGTTTCCACTGGAAATTAAAGGTTTTTAAAGACTAAAAATTCTAACATATGTTATTAAAGCTACTGGAAATAAAAAGGGAAAGGAATTTTATATGTGGTCAGGACTGGCTAAGATTGGAATAAATTTAAGTAAATGAATTTTAATACCAAAAGTAAGCTGGTGCATAATTAGAATTTGTTTTTCTCTCTGTTAAAAGAACACAAAGTTTTCTTGGACTGTTGGTCTGCTCCTGATAAGAGATTATGCGATGCTTTATTGAGTCTTTGATTTCTTAAGTAAATCTGCTAAAAGAGCTAAGTTCTGCTCATGATTTGTATTTGCTTTTGAAATCTTTTATTGTCACTTTGGTTAAACAGATAATTAAGTATTGTTCCATATTGATTTGTGATCCTATTTAGTCAAGTGTCCAAATTTTTTGATATCTTTGACAAATTTCCCAAAATCAAATTCTCTTGACCACAAAATAACTGAGATTTTCCAGAGGGCCCCTGAAGCATTTCAAAGAATCTGTTTTCTCTCCTTATAAAATGGAAATATTGAAATTAATTAGGCTTACCTGGTATGTTAAATTACTTGGAAAGCATTGTCAAATAAAAGTAATATTAAGCCTTCTTTATGCTGTGTCTGCACAGGCATATAAGTGTTCTAGAAATTGTGTGAAATTCCTAAAATTCTACTAAGTCTTGCTATAATGTTATCAGTCATAATTCTAGTTATTATCTTAAAATGTTATATGTCACAGAAATAACCAAATTTCTGTGTCAATTGCATTATAATGAACCATTTTTAAAGTGTTTTATCATTTATAGTTACTCTGATGTTTTGGCAAAAAGGCCTCATCTTCAAGAAGATTCATAGAAAGGAAAGTCATAAAACTGAACTGGGTCTCTGTCATCAAAACTGAGGCTCACATTAAAAACACTGAATCTGAATGTCATAGAAATGCCCTAGCTGACTTTCTGGCAAAGGCATCAGCAACAGAATCTATAAGGATTGTGGCACATGTGGATGGAGTCTATTCTGCTCCTGAAAAAAAAATTGAAAATGATCCCTTTTTGCCAGACTTTTGCCATCTTGATGGCAACAGTCTGCTCCTGAGTCAGAGAACAAAATGGCTGTATATTAAATGAACAGTTCGGGCTATGGGTAACCCAAGACACCTGCTTGGTTCTTCCTGGTTCCCCAGCAAACCTCATTTTTTGTTTTTTGCATTCCTTCAACCACTATAGTGCATTTAAGATGACTCGATTATGAATCAACATTGGTGGAGAGACTTCTACAAAATTTCAAAAACAGTCCACCAGCAATATGTGACCTTCCAGGTCCATAATCCTGGAAAAACTATTTTTGTCCCCAGAGGCCTCAGACCTCCTCTCTCTCTGGACCCTTTGGACACCTGCAGCTGGACTTCATTCAACTGCCATTTAGCATGGGTTATCAATATGTTCTTGTTATTGTATGTATGTTCCCCAGATGGGTTAAAGCCTTCCCCTGTTGCAAGGCTGATGTCCTCACTGTGGCAAAGGAAGTGTTAGAGAATATATCTCCCACTTGGCTTATACCTTCTGAAGTCTTCAGTGATTGAGGCACCTGTTTCACTGGGCAAATTATATGAGCCTTAACAAAAGCCTTGCAAACTTCTTAAAATTATCACTGCCCCTATCAGGTACTGTTGACTAACCCTCTTTTGCTGCCAGACTCTAGGGAGTGGACTTTTGGATTCATGTGTCACACCTAAAGAAAGCACCAAATCCCAACTGGACCTGCACCCCATCTGGTGACCTGAAATTAAAGATTTACAGGAACTGAAGCAGATGGCATCTGAAGGAGACAGCTTTCTCAAGATGACTGGACCATGCTTGTACACCCTTTTCTCACTGTTGCTTCTTCATTTTCTCCCTCTCTTTTTTGGAAGTACAATGCCCTTGTCTGCATTTCCCAATCTATTGCAAAAGGGAGAAACCTCTCTGATTTTTGGATTTGTCACCAGAAACCTCAATCTGTCCAAGACAACAATGACCCCTTAGTTCACCCTGTAAGTATAAGAAACACCTGAGAGTTCTCCATACTACCTTTCCTTGTTATTCAAATGTGGCCTCAAGCAATTTCTGGTCCATGCAATTTCCCTCCAATTTGGGACATGACACCCAGTAAAGGTCCTTCCTGCACCAAGGGACGAAGGCTACTGAATTTGGAAAACCTGATTCTTGATCAGCAATGCTTGCAGAGAAAGATTCTGATCAAAAGGGAAGAACTGTGAAAATTAATAAAGGAAACCTTATGTAAAATTGGAGTTAGGAGGACCTGTAAAAGGAGTTCTCATGCCCTATCACTTGTCATCAAATACCCCAAACAGGAAGACATTAATTACAGACCCCCAACAGTAAGAGATGTACCTTGTATTCCCAAACAGGAAGTGCAACTACTTTACTAATCCAGAAGGAGGAAAGAAGATTTTCTTCTTGCCCAGCAACAAGCCCAGCCAATGGAAATGCCACAGCTCAGCCAATGAGAAGCCATTGTCACCTGAACTCTTACTTTCCTCTAATGAACTATCATTTTTCTCTTGCTCATGACTTCTTGTTCTACCCTCCTTTATATTAAAGCCTTTCATTTTGTATAACACCTCAGAGTATCTCTCTTCTTGCCACAAGAGATACTGCCTGATTCATGAATCATTTAATAAAGCCAATTAGACCTTCAAATTTACTCACTTGAGTATAGAATTGCAAACGTAAGGTTTACCTGTCTGTATAGTTTTCTGAGTATTTGAAAAGAAGGAAAAGGATCCTATTAAGTTAGCTCAGTATTAACTACCATGTTAAACCACTCCTTCCCTTTATATCTCTTCAAATTCCCTGTAGATTTTGTTTTCCTTAATTAATAAGAAAGTGCAGAATACTCTAATTGCTAAATTTTATTCTTATATTATTCACAATTACCTACCTCTCTTTCTTTTTTTTCCATTTACCCCTTTTCTCTTCTCTCTTTCTTTTAATTTTTCCCTGGGGAGCACCTAAAAGTTTTTAAAAGAATTGGAAGTTTAACCTCTATCAGTAAAAGTCATTTTATTGACTAAAGAATTTGAAGAATTAGAATAATTAAGATTGATATTTTCATTAACTTTATTATGCTGGTTGGAAAAATCTTGCAAGACACAAATAACAGACAAAATGAGTTATTTAATTATAACTGTATCCCAATATTATAAATATGTGGCACTTAGGAACTCATCTAGAGGAAAACACACCTAAGAGTCCACTAGAATCCAAGCTCTAGTTAATCTAGAAAACATAAGGTATTATGCTTATTAGCAGGAACTACATAAGTGCAACTGTTAAACACTTTATTGAGCAAATAAAAAATGAATTATTTTAATAAGAAAGTGGAGAAGGAGACTATAGCCTGCCACCATATTAACCACTCAATGCTGTAAGAGGCAACCATATTCCTGACTAAAAGTGAAAGTTCTTCACGTGAATTTTTTGTATTATCTAGCTTGTGGTTTTCAAAGTTTCTTGAATCTGTAGTTGATGTTTTTCATGCATTTTGGAAAGTTTTGGCCATTATTCTCTCCAAATATTGTTTCTTCCTCAGTCTCTCTTCCCTCCTTCTTAGATTCCTATTCCATGTTTGACCTCTTCACTGTGTCTCACATGTTTCTGATGCTCTCTTCTGTATCTTCCACTCTTTTTTCTTTCCCCTAACTTAACTTCCAGTTTGCTAATTCTGTCTTTTTGTTGCATTTAATCTGCTGATAAACCTATCTGAATTGTTAATTTTAGATAATGCACATTTTATTCCAAAATTTCCACTTGATTATTTTTAGTTTACAAATCTCTATTTTATTGAACACATTAATCACAACTGTAAAATTCAGTGCCAGTTAACTCCAATATCTGGATTACCTGTAGGGCTGTTATTTATATAATTTTTAAATCTTGTTTTTAGGTCATGTCAGACTGTTTAGCCATTTTTTTATTAAAAGCTAGGTATTTTGTATTACAAAATTCTAGAGGGTGTAGATGATGTTATCTTCCTCCTAAGATGATTCACCCTTCTTCCACTAGGCAAATAAAATGATGGATGATCATATAAACCCAATCAGGGCCTGTGCTGAGAGGAGATTAAAGTCTTGGTAAGGCTCAGTTTACCTCCGATTCATCCATGCCCCTCCTGGGTTTTCAACAGAGGGCCTCTTGTATTCTCCAACCCATGGTGAGTCCCAAACACTCATCTTTGTATCATTTCACTTCTCTATAGTTCTTTCCTCTCTAGAATCTTAATCCCTCCAGTTCTCATTGTCTTAACAGCTCTCCACTTCCTTTAAACAATAATTTCTGCTTTTTATCTAGTTGTTTATAGTAGAAGCACTGGTTTCCTGCTAACTACTTATCTCACTGGAAACAGAAGTCAATAAAGGAAATTTATTTACTGGCATAAACCCACAACTACAAACAGAATAGGAATTAACTGTCCCTCTTTTTCCTGAAAGTTACTAGAAGGAGTGCTCCAATAAAATAAGAGAAAAACAAAGAAGGAGGAAAGCATAGAATCCAGAAAACAGGTGATCAAACCCAAAAGAGAGGTAAAGGAAATTCCAGAATGAAGATGAAAAGAGATTCTAATATCACAGCTGTTTAACAAGCCTAGAAAGGAGTAATTCCAGATGGAGCACGGTAACAGGATCCAAGAGAGGATCCCCAAAATGAAATTAACAAAGTACTGATGTATTTGAATATTTCGAAAGGAAATTTAGATTACTATTATATAACACAAACACAGACAATGAAACAAATTTTTTAAAAGATAATTATTAGGTGAAAAGAAAACAAAAAGTTGTGCTAGAAGCAAACCATTATAAGGTTCAGCTGTAAATATGTTTGTAAAGTCATAATAATGAAATTTTTGAATAGTGAAATTATCCAAGTTACAATAATGAAATCCTATTTAGAAAGATGACAGGAAGAAATGAATGTCGGGGGGAAATGGTGATTTTTTTAAAAGGTGGCTAAATTCTTATCTTCTATAGAGACTAACTGAAAAGTGAAAAAATAAACAGGTTATTTTAAGGTTATTTAAAGATTCAGAGACAGATATCAAAACATACTGCTAAAAGAGATTGACGTGACTGCCTCTGGAAACTGAAATTAGGGGAAATCGTTTTGAAACTATCCATCAGTGTGAGGGCAGAATAATGATATTTTGAGATATGCAAAGACTCAGAAAGTTTACCTCCCAAACATATGTTTTGAAAAAGGTATTTGACTGCGTATTCTAACAGTCGAGGCAGAAAACCAAGAGAGAAGAAGACATGGATCTAGTAAACAACAGATCCAACCAACAAGAGCAGTGAGAGGAAATTCTAAGATGACAACTATCTGTCAGGCCTTGAGGGTATAAAGTGGTTTAGTTTACAAGAGTCAGGTAAGAACATCTCCGGGAAAAATAAATGAACTCCATGCGACAGTATGATGAAAAGGATGGAAAATCTTTTTATTATGGTGAAGTTACATTATCTTTCTGTCAATAATTAAAAAAACCAGCAGAACTAGAAACTCTATGAAAAACAAGAACTGTACAAGAAAGTCATGGTTCAAATATGAAGTAATACCAAGACGTGGCATAGTTTTAAGCAACTGATGGAATATGAATGCACTTGATGTTTGTGACTAGAAACATTCTAGAAACATTCTCTTTTGAAAGTCTCAGAAAAAAGGGAAATGTAATCCTAGCGCATGACTTGGCACTGCAATAGCAATATTTATATAGTGATTTAAATGCTGATTATTGGTTTTGAAGCTTTAAAGTGAATCTTTGGACAAAAAAAAATGAAAGAGTTATTTTTCATTGTAGATAAGACTATAAATGTCAACTATTGAAAATGTTAAAAAAAAGACATTAGAAATAAAAGATGCAGGAAAGGATAGAGGTATTTATATAAAAGAGAGTAAAATAATTGACTAAAGTTAATGGAACAAAAAGTATAATTACAAGTAAAATGTTATTGATACCATATTAAAGAATAGAAAAATTAATTACAAGACAACTAACAAACACTGAGAGGATAAAGGTAGGTGAGACAAAGGAGTAATCTGAACTGAGCTAATCAATAGATATTGTCTAGAGTTGAATGGGGAGAATATTTGTTATATTTTGATTGCCCAGGATCTGATTCTCATTCCTATGTTTGGTGACTATTCCTCTGCATGCCTCCCGCCATCAATGCTGAAAAGGCCAATAATTGCTTTCCCAGTTTTCTCTGCAGCTAGGACATGGGCATGTGATTTAGGCTCAGTCGATCGCTGCCCAGGAGACAGCGACACAAAGAAGCAGAGATAGTGAAGAATCCATTGTGCAGGGGTGGCAGCAATACCCAGTGTCTAGTGACAGCAATGGCGGTGATGACAGTGGTGGCATTTAGTGACCATGGCAATGCAAGTTGAGGCATCCAGGTTCAGTGGTGGCAGTGGTGGCAGTGTGCCCTTACCAGACTGGGCCCTGTGGCAGGACTTCCTATGGTTCTAGCTGCCAAATTTCACTTTGTTCCTATTCATATTCAGAGATTAGTTCTCTAGGGTTTTTGGCAATTCCGTGAGTTACTGTGTCCTTTCAATAAATTCTTTTCCCATTTAAATCAGCCAGAGTCAGCTTCCTTTGATTACAATCAAGAACTCTGATTAGTCCACTGATAAATCAAGAAATAGAAGTGTAAGCATATCACTTGGGAAAGAATCAGAAACCCAAATGTCATCAGTAGCTAGTAGGAGTTTTAATGAATTTTCTTTCTAAATCATCTAACTTATAAATGAAAAAACCTTAACAGGGTAATAAACATGCCTTCACTACTTGAATCGGTCTGACTTCCTGAAGATGATGACGAAAAAGAAGGAAACACATTGTCATCTGAAGAATGAGATGCTGATGATCTATGTCGGGATTGGTGGTGTTTTTGGTTTCGCTCTTCTTTTTTCTTTGGTCTATGTTTACCTTAGATTGATATAAAATGCAACACAATTATTCTCTCAAATATTAGCAACAAACGAGAGAGAAACAAATAAAATAATTTATCAAACGTACTTGAATTTACTCAAAAGGTCTTAAAGCAAGTAAGATTCATACCTCCATTTCTGCCGGTCCCGGCATCTTCAGGACTTCTGTGTATGGACTTCTTATCCATGTCTATAAAACTTGCCTGCCATGTCTGTAAAACCAAAATATTGACAACTTATTAGAGAATTTAAAAAAAAAAATGATGCTTTTTGAGGACATGGAAACCATGTTTTAAATTCTGAATGGAAAGAGGGTCGGGTGTTAGTTATTCAGAAAATGGTTCTGTATTTCCACTAAATGGTAACCTTTCATACACTAATTTGAGTGTCTGTCATCAAAACAAAAATCAAATATGTATTTCCATAACCTCGGTAAAAATCTCATTCAGATTCTATCAAAATAAGCACCCTGTTTTAGTTGAACTTTGAGTTATAGCCTAAAAGAACAAGAATTTAGAATTGATGTGGTGATACTCTTGGATCATATGATCAAGCTGGTTGTTGTTAAAGGGAAATACCAATAGACTGAATTGCATCCCTCCAAAATTCATTTATTGAAGTTCTAACCCCCAATGTGACTGTATTTATAAATAGTGTCTTTAGGAAGTAATTAAAGTAAAATGCAATCATAAGGGTGGACCCATAATCTGACAGGACTAGTGACCTTATAAGAAGAAAGAGAGAGAGGAATCTCTCTCTGTCTCCCCATGCACCACAAAGAAAATGCCACGTGGGGGTGCAGCAACAAGGAGGCCATCTGCAAGCCAGGAAGAAAGTTCTCACCAGAAGCCAAACACTGTTAGAATCTTAATCTTGAACTCTGCAGTTTCCAGAACTCTGAGAATATAAATTCCTCTTGTTTAAGCCACACAGTCTGTGGTATTTTGTTATGGCAGCCTGAGTAGACTAATAGACCAGTCAAGGATAGCTGTGATTGTCGCTCCCCTTCATAGCTGAGATGTTCTCCCTGGCACCTGCAGCACATCATGCCTTATCTCATTCTTGGGCTCCATGTTTTCCTCCCACTCTTAAAGAGAGGCCATCTTAGGGCTCAGTCCTGAATCTTTTGATTGTTCCTCTCTATACACTATTCCATTAGCTCCTGAACTTTAGTGCACATAAGAAACACCAAGGAATTTGTTAAAAGGCAGATTCCTGTGCTCCACACCCAGAGATCTTCATTTAGAAGATCTGGAGGGATATCTTAGTGATTCAAGAAGCCTTGAGACTACACTTTAAGAAATGCTGCTTTCTTAGAAATCTCATGGAGTCAAATGATTTCAATGAATATATTCCTCCTCCAGCCCTTTTATTTGTCCAGATCTCCAACTCCTCATCTCTGTTTAATAAACATTTTCCTTGGATCATCTACTATCACCTTGCATTTTAATGTAAAACCAAGCTTTTCCAGAAACTTAGCCATTTCTGTAGGTAAAATCATTTTTCTTCTAGTTCATGCACTCATACAGCAAATTTATGGAGTGACATCAGCAACACGGTGGAATGAGCTGCTCCCATTGTCTCTCCTCCTCTGAACTACAACTAAATGGACATTCATTGACCAACGAAGGATACCCACACAGAACAACAGGACCCTTGAGAGACCCACACAGTTATACATCTGAAGGTGAATGGACTGGATCCCCAGCAAGCAGTGGAGATGGGTGAGTGTACCCCTCCCACTCCACAGCAGCAGCAAGCCAAGTTGTGGGTCCTCACACAGTGGCTGGCATGACACAAGGAGGAGGTGGAGACAGCCCAGCCCAGGCGCGAACACTATCCTGGCCTACAGGAGCACCCACCGTGCTGTGGAGGCCCTGCTAGGGGGAACACTCCCCACCGAGTGGCTGCAGCTTGGCCCCTGCGATGGAGCCCTGCATGCCAGCACAACAGCTGGCATGACTGTATGAAGAGGCAAGGGCAGGCCAGCCTGCAGGAGTGCCCACTGTGCTCCAGTGGCCCCACCAGTGGGACTCTTCCCATCGAGTAGCCAGGGCTCAGCCCCCATGAAGGTGCCCCACTCATGAAGCATGGTGGCTTAACTAAACCACCAGAAGCACAGCGCCAGCCCACACCTGCACAACCTGTGTGCTAAGCAGAGAGGCACAGTGGCCCTGTCTCCACAAGAGTGAGCCACTGAGTGGCTGTGGCTAGCCTGCACAAACACAGAGCAGCCATACCCACACAACTTCCAGCAGATGAGGTGGGATCAGACACACAGCTCTTGCTTCCCCTAGTGGTGGCAGGTGGACTCTGAGACCTAATACTACCACAAATGCACTAGCAAAAGATCAGTTCATCAAACACCATGAAAAACTACAGCAACACTTCAGAGCAGAAAGAAAATGACAAGTCTCCAGAAACCAACCCTGAACTCACAGAAATCTACAATCTAAATGACAGAGAATTCAAAATAGTTGTCATTTAAAAACTCAATGAGTTACAAGAAAACTCAGAAAAACAGTTCAATGAGTTCAGCAATAAAATTAATGAGCAGAAGGAATACTTCACTAAAGAGACTGAAACTCTACAAAAAAAAAAAAAAAAAAAAAAAAAACCAGAAATCCGGGATATGAAGAACACAATTAATAAGATAAAAAATAATCTAGAATCCTTAAAAAATAGAGCTGGCATTATGGAGGACAGAATTAGTGCTTAGAGGATAGAAATATAGAAATGCTTCAAGTGGAGAAGAAGAGAGAACTAAGATATTTTAAAAATGAAGAAACTCTTCAAGAAATATCTGACTCAATTAGGAAAAGCAACATAAGGCTTACAGGTATTCAAGAGGGAGAAGTGAGGGGGAAAGGAGCAGAGAGCTTGTTCAAAGAAATAATAGCTGAGAAGCTCCCAAACCTGGGGAAAGAACTGGACTTACAAGTACATGAAGCCAACAGAACTCCTAATTACATCAATGCAAAAAGACCTTCTCCAAGGCATATAACATTAAAACTGGCAAAAGTCAATGACAAACAAAAAATATTAACGGCAGCAAGGCAGAAGAGAATAATCTACAAAGGAAACCCTAGCAGGCTTTCAGTGGATTTCTCAGCAGAAATCTTACAGGCCAGGAGAGAATGTAACAATATATTCAGAATACAGAAAGACAAAAACTTCCAGAAAAGAATATTCTACTCAGCAAAACTATGCTTCAGATATGATGGAGAAATAAAGCTTTTCCAGATTAAACAAAAGCTGATGGAGTTCATCACCACTAGACCTTCCTTACACAAAATGATGAAGGAAGCCCTCATACCTGAAACAAAAAGGCAAAAGTTTACAAAGCTTTGAGTGAGGAGATAGACAGATAAAATCAGCAAATTGCAGCTCTCTATCAGAACAGCTTAGCAAACAATTATAACATAAAAGATAAAGGGAAGGAAAGCATAAAAAATAACTATAAACACTTCAATTTAGTCACAAAGTCACAACACAAAATAGAATAATTTGTGACAACAATAAATCAGAGGGGGAAAAGGAAAGGGATGGAACCTGCTTAGTCTAATGGAGATAAGAGGTTATCAGAAAATGGACTATGTCATCTGTAAGATCTTTTATACAAACCTCATGGTAACCACTAAACAAAAAATCAGAGCAGAGCTACAATTCATAAATAAAGAGAAAACTAAGAAAACCATCATAGAAAACTACCAAACTGAAATGGCAGTCAGAGATAGGAGGGAAGAGAAACAATGGATAAACACGACAATTGGAAAACAAGAAATAAAATGGCAGTATTAAGCCCTTATATATTAATCACTCTAAATGTAAATGGATTGACTTCTCCACCAAAAGACACAGAGTAGCGGGATGAATTAAGAAACAAGACACAAAAATATGCTGCTTCAAGGAAACGCATCTCAGCTCTAAAGGCAAACATAAGCTCAGAGTGAAAGGATGGAAGATGATACTCTAAAGCAAATGGCAAATGAAATAAAGCAGTTGTTGTCACACTTAGACAAAGTAGACCTCAAGATGAAAAAGACAATGAGAGACAAAGAGGGACAGTATATACTGATAAAAGGGACATTCCATCAAGAGGACATAATACTTATGAATATATATGCACCTAACATAGGAGCACCAAAGTATATAAAGCAACTATTAACAAACCTAAATGGAGAAACTAACAGCAACACAATAATAATAGGGAACCTCAACACCCCCCTTACATCAATGGATAGATCATCCAGACAGAAATTCAACAAGGAAATATTGGATTTAAAGGAAACACTAGATCAGACGGACTTAATAGATATGTAGAGAACATTCCACCCAGGAACAGCAGAACACACATTCTTCTCAAGTGCACATGGAACAGTCTCAAAGATAGATCAAATGTTGGGAAACAAGGCAAACCTCAGTATAGTTAAGAACACGGAAATAATATCAAGCACCTTTTCCAACCACAATGCTATGAAACTAGAAATCAACTACAAGAAAAAAGCTGGGAAAGTTACAAATATGTGGAGACTAAGCAACATGCTACTGAACAATCACTGGATTAATGAAGAAATCAAAGAAGAAATTAAAAAATACCTGGAGACCAATGAAAATGAAAATACAACATACCAACTCTTATGGGATACAGCAAAAGTGGTTCTAAGAGGGAAATTTAAGCAATACAGGCCCAACTCAACAAAGAAGAAAAATCTCAAATAAGTAATCTTTTTTTATTTTTTGAAGAAGATTAGCTCTGAGCTAACTGCTGCCAATCCTCCTCTTTTTGATGAGGAAGACTGGCCCTGAGCTAACATCCATGCTCATCTTCCTCCACTTTATATGTGGGACGCCTACCACAGCATGGCTTTTGCAAAGCGGTGCCATGTCCACACCCGGGATCCGAACCAGCAAACCCCAGGCCACTGAGAAACGGAACGTGCGCACTTAACCACTGCACCACTGGGCCAGCCCCTCAAATAAGTAATCTTAAACTATACATAAGTGAACTAGAAAAAGAAGAACAAACAAAGCCCAAAGTCAGCAGAAGGAGGGAAATAATAAAAATTGGAGCAGAAATAAATGAAATAGAGACTAAAAAGACAGTAGAAAGGATTAATGAAACTAAGAGCTGATTCTTTGAGAAGATAAACAAAATTGACAAACCCTTAGGCAGACTCACTAAGAAAAAAAGAGAGAAGGCTCAAGTAAA